CTAAGGCTTAAAGAGTTTAAATAATTTGTCTGAAGACTAGAACTGGATAGAGATAGAGCCTGAATATGAAAGAGTCTGTCTGATCTCAATATTCATGCCCCTTGGTTTCTGGCTCATAATTTGAGCCCTGCTGGCTGGGATAAGAGCAACACATCCCTATGCCGGTGACCAGAGATAAAAATAATAACCACTTCATATTTAATTATTGAACACATCAACACAATCCAATAATAAGGAAACTATGATCGTGGCACAGTGTAAGCAGGGCTCTTTGATCTGCCTCTCCACCCCTCCATGGCCCACACTGGGGGAAGATCAGTGAGATGCCAGGCCATCCTTCTTAGTTAGAAGGGACCCCAGGAGCCTTCCCATAGCCCCAAGCTATTCTGAGCAAACTAAACAGGAAACAGGGAAAGAGGAGAGAGAAATTCTCACTGACTTTAAAAGATTTATACTGACAATATCCCAAGGAGCTTACGAAATGTACTTTTTCCTTTTGCTTTATTTTTTGGAGCTAGAGGAAAGCTGCTGATGAAGAGAGAGCTCTCAACTACGGAGTTTCATTGAGAGTGCAAATACTTTAAGCTCAGTCCCTTATTGATAGCCCAGTTGCACAAAATAAAATTCATATAAACATTATCTCACATATTAGAACTGGAAAAGTAATCCATCTTCCAGTCAACTTTGAAAGAGTCTCATTATTGAGGTACTGAATCACAGGAAAGAATTTAAATGTGTTTCCACACCCAGGAGGGAGGAACGGTGGTACAGGATGAGCCCCAAAGCCCCAGCAACTTCAGCCTGATTTGCTCCTGCTGGGAACTTGACTTTCGCAGGGGTGCGTGTGTGTGTGCGCGTTCGTGCACACGCGCACACACAAGCACACTTGCATGTTATCTTTCTGAGAAAAAGGGAAGCACCTCCTTTATTTTGCCCACATTCTTTCTTTTAGTAGCTCGGAAAACCGGTTTCAATCCAACTTTCCACCAACTAAAAATACCAGAGTAGGGTCTCAGACCAAGACACAATTGTTGCTCCCTAACATGTGGCATGTGTGGCTTCATCCTAACCCCAGAATGTACCCCCAGTGTGTCTGCAGCAAGACTGTGCCCCCAGAGATGCTTCCAGGGCTCTCACTTGCTCTGAAAAGATATACACTAGCCTAGTGTTAGAAGCCCTGGTAGAGTCCCAAAGTCTGTCCCTAACATAGCACCTTTGCTTACAAAGGTAACATACTAAACACATCACATTTGCATTTAGTCTCGTCCTTGCCTAGTGTGAACTGGTGGTAGAGGATGAGGTTGGGTCAGCATACCTCCTGCCCCCCAGCATACCAAATTAATCTTCCAGAAGCACCACCCTGATGATGTCCCTGTCCTGCTCAAAAACCGCTTCTGGCTCCCTGTTATCCACAAAGTAAAGTTGGACATCTTTAGCTGGGAATGAAATGTTCTCTGTGGTCTGGTCCACACTCACTGCCCTTCCTTATTTCTCAGCCTTCTCGTCACATGTGCCACTCTGCAGCCGAACGCCACTACACATTTTCTACATTTCTGCCTTCACTCCTCTTCCTCTCAACTCTTGCACAGCTGTTTCTGCCAATATCCTTGTTTTTCTCTCCCTTTAAGACCTAGGTCAAAGGTCATCTTCTTTATGAGTCTTCCCAACTGAACCTAATGTCTCTTTCATGAAGCCTCCCAAAGTGCTTTATCTCTTATGTGTCTTATGACTCTATAACCTCTACTTTTGATTAAAATTAGTGCAGACATGTCATCACCCCTATGGGACCTCGAGTTCCTTGAAAGCCAGAACTGTCTGGCTCATGTCTGTGTCCCCAGGGCAGAGCCAGTGGTTGGATGTTTGCTCAAAGCAGGCATCCAATAAATGAAATTTGAGGGCAGAAAGGAGTAAGGAAGCCAGTGAACAAATGGATTTGGTCCAGTACCCATCTGCCCGCCTTTCTCCCTTCCCATCCATCTGGGCTCTTGAGATATACAACTTGCCCGCAAGGCACCCTGGTCATATTTTAGGATAAAGAATACAGTGGGACAATGAGAAAGATACAAGGGAAAGAACACTGGTTAGGAGTCCAGAGACCTGGAGTCTGGTCGGTCTCTGGACTTTCAAATTAAGACTGGGCAAGTCATTTCCTCATTCTGATCTCCAGTCTGCTTCTCTAGAAAAGAGAAGACATTACATTAGATCATCTTAAAGTCCTTTTTTTTTTTTCAAAATTATAACTTTAATATCCACAAATGAGAACTTTATATAAACTCATATAAAGTAGTTAGAATTGGCTGATAGCAATAAGACTTGATGTGATAGTTGAAACAAGTAGAAAGTTGCTATTTTAGTTTGTAATAAATCATAGAAAAAGACAGTTTCTAGCACGGGCTCAGCAGTTGTACATTGTCAGGGTTTGTAAATGTATTAACTTTTTCCATATAGTCACAAGGTGGTTGCTACATATTAGCTGTCACAGCCTCATTCAAGGCAGCAAGAAGGAAATAGTGGTGGGAGTGACACCATCCCTTCTGTAAAGAAAGGAAACTCTTCCCAAGACACGGCCAGTGGATCTCTGCTTACAGAACTCCTTGTTCAAAGCCAAGTTCACTCCTAACTGAAATGAAGGCTTGAGACATGAACATTTAATCAGACTTACAGTACCCCAGTTGGCAAGAAAGAATAGTGAATTGGATGAGGAGTAGATAACCAAGAACATCAACATCATTGGTGTAGCCTCTTATTATTTATAAAAACAGTTTCATATCAAAGGATGATCCCTGTGAGGACAGAATTATTTAGGAGCACTTTTTAAAAAGGAACTAAAGGCAACCCCAATCTAAACAGTATCAGAAGCAATAGTTTACCTTATTAGAGACAAATTTTGGAAAGGCCCATAAGTTTAAATGAGTCATATTCCTACCTAAAACACTGAATTTGTTAATATGCATTTGTTTAATTTACTTTGTTTGAATATGTTTATATAACTTCTATGTTTTCAAGGCAAAACTGGGATAGAGGAGGAGGAAAATATTTAAAAGTACCTCCAATTCCTTCTGGTCCCATTTCCTATTTTCATCTATTAATAATCCCACATAGCTTTCACTATTTAAAGTCCTTTCTAATTCTGAGTCTTTAATTCTAATTCCTTTCTTTTACCTCTGTGCCTGTGACAAGAATGTCTCCCCCATGGTAAAACAGGATAATAATATAGACTATTTACTGAGGGTTGTAGAGCACTTTTCAAAGGCCCATAGGCCATGCTGAAACTTCCCAGTAATTACAGAGGGTTCAGTTTCCAGTACTGACCCAAGTCCCTGATTCAACTCAGAAACAGTCTTGTGCTGACCTCATCCTGATTGTAACTAGAAGTCACATTTATCTACCTCTAGAACATTGCACCTCTCCAAATTCCTGACACAATATGCGTGCTTGGAAATGCTTTGCTTCTGGTAAGAATCCCCTTCCTTCATCTGCATCATGCTTTATTGTAGGCTGCTAGTTCCTTTGCCTACTCGGTAAATTGGGTTATCTGCAGAAGGAGACTAATTCAAAGCACTGGGGGGTGATTAAAGAAGGCTGAGCACTTGTTAGCTGGTTTCTACAGGAGTTGGGGATCTTGTGGGACTAGGCTTTCACTGCAAAAGGAGCATCATCTAAAGGTCCAAAACTTCAATGCAGAGTGTAGCAAGTAAAATTAATGCACCAGAAGGAATACCGGGAACAATAAAATGGCGCCATGCTTTTATGCTGACAGTAATCCCCATGAATACAAGGTTCTTGTAGGTCTCTTGGACTGCGCTACTGGAGTTAGGGTTGGCTTGCCCCAGAGGGAAACTCTACAGGCATGGCACCAGGAGGGATCTGTAGGGCTCTCTTTGTGGAGACCAGTTGCAAATGCATATGATTCATAGACTCAGGAGCTGAAATGAATCTTAAGAGATGACTGACTTCAGCCAACCCTTCCCACCCCATTTTATAAATGAGGAAACTGAAACCAGAGAAAGTTAATGCTTTGCCCAAGATCACTTAGCTAGAAAGCAAAGGAGTGGGAGCCATGATCTTAGCTACATAATAAGTGACCCAAATAAGCCACCCACCTCTCAGAGAAAACCTTGAACTGGTCATAACTATTTGGGAAGCCTAGAGCCAACCCATACATTCCTGGGAAACTCTGAATTGTCCAACAGCTGTCAGTTGAGTCCAAAGTTGGCTTGAGTGTGATATGGAGAACTCAGGTCAGCTCTGATTTAAACTGTGACCCATAGCGTGGCCTGAGATACCCCAGAGTGTCCTGGTTTGTGAGGTGTGGAGATATGCTACGTGGATGTTTATAAGATGGAACTGATGTCCTGCCTCCACTCTGGGAACGTGTACAGAGGGAGGGACTCTCTCTAGGCTGCCCTCCTCCACCAAGAACATCTTAGCACTTGGGTTGAGTTTCTGACTCTCATCACTCTTTGGGTATTAAATAATCTGTCCTAGTCTTCTGCTTCTTATGGGACTTTGTTAATTGTGCCTACTGGCTGGGAAAGAATCTGTGAGTGTCATCTCTAACTTAGAAGACAGTGGAAATCAAATAATTGATTATTTTATAAGGGTGCTTCCTCTCTACCTAAAACTGTGTAATGTGCTCTCCATGCTTACCTCACATAATCCTCACAACCACTGAAGTAGATGTTTTCATTCCCATTTTACAGATGAGGGACCTGAGTCTCAAGAACATAGAGCTAGTAAGTAGGGGAGCTAAGGTGAGAACCTTGATCTGCCTGATGATAAAGCCCAAGTCCCAGGTCACCATCCTCTTGCCTCAGGCTTTGCTTTTTACAGAGACAACCTAAGAGAGGGGGAAGAGGGCCAGGTGTGTGTAAGGAAGGCGAGAAAGGCCTCCAGCATCGCTGGCTCTGATGCCGTTGGTCTCTAAATCCCGCCACAGAGCTTATGCTGGTCCTCCCTTCTGGACACGCTGCAGAGTCACCTTCCCTGTCTCTTGGCAGGTGCCTTCCTCCTCCTCAACACCTCGATGAACTCCAGGCACAGCATCTTGAGTCCATGGGTGAGAAGCAGCAGCGAGCACTGCAGGCTGGCCGTCTCGGTACACAGGCACCTGCAGCCCTCCGGGAGGTACGTCGCCCGGCTGCTGCCCCACAGTGAGGCTGGAAGAGAGATCCCCCTGGTACCCACTCCAGGAAAGCATGGGTAAGTCCTTCCCCGTGTCCAAAACCCATTATGTAAATGGAGATTTGGCTTTGGGCTACAAATTTCCAGAACACCCTGGAAATTTGACATCTACTTAATTGACATCTATTTAAAACTCACAATCGTCCTTTAATGGGTAGTAGGGTCCAGATGGAGCCATTACTGCTAATATTCCCTGCATGGTGTCTTGGGCCCTGATCTGTGGGGTCCTCTGGCTGCCCAGGCTGACGGTCCTTCCAGAGGCCAGAGGACCAGCTGGCAGAGTGGACATTTAATGAGTGGGTATTAAAGATATTCGTTTCCCAAAGTCCAGATGGAGCCAAGAAGAAAACAGCCAAGGGGAGTGTTGAAAGGCCAATATGAAAGTAATTGAATATGCTGGAAACTGGGTTTTACCAGAAGAAATTTGGCAGGAAGAGAAAGAGCAAACAATTGTGGCTGCCCAAGCAGGTCCTACAGCAGTGTGGGACACCACAGCAGAATAGGTCAGGGATGCCACACGGTATCAGTTCAGGAGAGGAACATGATCTGTTCTAGAACCTCTAAGGCTTGCACAACATTGAAGTCATACCCAATACCCATGTCAGTGAACTTAAGCCTCCTGGACACACTCACATGCTTCCTCAGTGACCCATCAGGCCTCTAGAAGTAGTGACGCTGGAAAGCAAACCTGAACAAGGGAACCTCTGTGCCTGCCTTTTTTCTCATTCCATAAGACTTCAGTTTTGAGGGGTCCCTGCTCCGATAATCAACAAGAGTGCAAGATCCTTCTTTGTGGCGCGTTTGCTAGAGAAAGACCTCAAATTTTTCCTTCTAAGAAAATACGTTTCAGAAAGGCTCCATCTGAGCAATGATGTTCCCCATCTCCATGGTGTGCTGGGTCAGTGGGGAGATCCTGCCTACTGCAATTCCCATAAAGCTATATGGCCTCCTTGCTCATTTCTTGAAAGTCTCCACCCCACTCCCCTGCTACTGGCCCATCTGTATTTATTTGTGTTTCAAAGAACTACAAGCTGCTACAATCCCAGCAGGAATGAAATCTCGGCTTCAGAAAAGATGTTCTCCTCATACCTAAACTCATATCTATCTTCTTGCCTCTGAAATGTCTCGTTGGACTGGCTGGGAGGGGCCCAGCCACCAATTGTGTCTATTCACCAGAAATCAGGAATGTCAGGTGTGTGAGCTGCCCACTATTAGGGATGAGCCGTCTTCTGATGGCCAAGGCTTCCTCCAGCATAGCCTCCTTTTCTTGTGAGAAGCCCCAGATGGCAAGGTCTCCCATCCATGGGTGGGGATGGTGGTGGCCTCGGCTGCAGTGCCATCCTGTATGTGTTTGCCCAGCCCCATGAGCTGTTTTGACTTCTGCTCAACATTCCTGCCCCACCAAGCCTGGCAGAGACCAGAGAGTTCTTCCTGGGGCTGCTGGGACTTCAGGCAATCAATCTGTTGAGGTGCTAGGTAGCGGGTAGGGAGACATTGATGTTGCAGGTGGACATGGAGTTTGGGGTCTCCCTGAAATGCAGGCTGAGAATGAGCATGTGTGTGAGAGGACAGGTGCTGCAGGATTTCAGCACTTCCTAAGTAGCAGGGCCTGGTCCCTGTCTAGCATCCTCAGGAAAACGATAGCGCCTCGGTGTGACGGGCCACGGGGGCTTGCTAAGAGCTTTCCCCTCTTTATCTTCCTGTGCTCATAACTACCAGCTGAGCTCCCATTAACAAACAGGAAAACTGAGGCAGAGAGCGGAGGTAGGCAGCCTATTTATAGTTGCCTTAACTGGACCCCAGGTCTCCCCTTTCCTCATTCGGGCTGTTTTTGGGAAACCCATAGCCTCTCAGCAGGAATTCAGGGGGTAAAGGATGGGGTTGGGAAAGAGGAAATGGAAGATGAAGGAACCTTGCAAAAAGACCTGATCTAGATTCTTTGAAGAGCGAGGGAGCATGTGATGGCAGCCTTTCCTCCTCATGTGTTGAGAACAAGGAGACCAAGACTGCACGGTGCAGGAGGCCGTGAGCGTCCCCTGAGGCTGCCCTGGCCGCCAGTCTCCGTGTCCACCCTGCTGGCCAATGCATTTTCTTCCCAGCCTGACCCTTCCGTCACCAGGATCAGTCTGCGCCCTGGAGGGTGGGAGCTGAGGCAGGAAGAAGGGAGCAGGGGTGCTGGGCAAGCCCATTGACCTGATGGCTTTGCTAGGGCTGCCCCTACATCTTCAGGAGCTTTGCCTCAGGCCAGGCTCCGTGCGTCTTGTGCCGAGATGTTCTCCCCTCTCCCTGGCAGGGCCATCGTGGAGTTTGGTGATGAGCAAGAGTGATTCCAGTTTAAGTTAAAGATGCCTGAGCTATAGCCTCCCCACTAACAAGATCAGCGTGCTGAGGGCGCAAGGGCGCAGCTGAAGGGGCGACCCGTAGACTGCTTTGCTGTGTGGAGGAGCCCTGCTGCTGGGCCTGGCAAGCTGCAGGTCACAGGCGCATGTCCAGCAACTCAGAGAGCTCTGGCTATTCATGTCGGCCTGGATCCGAGTTGCTCAGCCTCGGTACTATTGACGTCTAGGGCCGGACAATTCTTTTTGTGGGCACTGCACTGAGCGTGGTCCTCGGCTTCCCAGGCCTCTACGCACTAGACGCCAGTAGCACCTCCCCTGGTTGTGACAACAGAAATGTTTCCAGACATTGCCAGATGTTTCCTGGGGAGCAAAATTGCCCCACTGAGACCACTGAAATAAATAGAGCATTTTAGAGCGGGGAGGAGCCCTGGGATTTACCCGGTTCAACCGTGTCAGTTCACAGGTGTGGGAACTAAGGCCAGGAGAGGTCAGGGACTTGCTCCCTGTCAGGTGATGAGTGTCAGTGTTGGGAGGCAAGTGTCTTGAGCCCTACACTCATGTGTATGTGCCAGCCACTGTACCAGGTACTGGGTTTCACAGACACATAAGGCCCATCCCTACCCTATAACAATAATACCCTATAACAATAGTAATTGTTATTACTTTTACAATAGTAATAACTATTGTTAACACTAATTACACACTTCCTAGATGTGCCAGCCAATCACTGCTGTGCACTTTACACGCCTTTTCTTATTTAATACTCAACAACACAATGAAGCAGGTACTGTTATTATCTTCCATTTCACAGATGAAGAAATTCAGTGAAGCCAAATAACTTGCCCAAGGTCACTGGCTAGACAGGGGGGAGGGGGTTTGAACCTAACCAGCCTGACTTCAGACTGTTTTTACCCATTGCTGGAAGAGCTCAATTGGACCACAGTAATGCAGCAGGAAAATTATTATGCCCTTGAACCAAAGCCCTAAATTTAAGTCCTATTTCACTATTCAATCGTCAGTTCAATGAACAATCATTTATTGGGTATTTTGTATTTGTTAGGACCATAGAGGTGATAGGGATACAGAAGGCCAGCCTTTGATGGTTCATGAAAGGATATTCCATGAATGAGCTCTATGACCTGAGGCAAATTCCATCCCCACCTAAGCCTTGGTTTCCCCATCTGTAAAGTGGGGATGATGATGCTGACCCAGCTCACATGGTCACGTGGGGTCATGTGGGGTCATGTGGGGTCAGTGCAATTAAGGATGTGAAGGGCTTTGCACACTCTGAGCAGGATACAAATGTAAGAGGCCATTACTTAATACCCTCACCTGCTCTGCTCTGCTCTGCTTACAATTGGGGATCACAAAGGATTGAGACTCGTCTGCTCTCTGATTATGAGTCAGTGTCAGACTCAAGAATCTGTTGGTTTTGAGGTCCTTGGCAGTTTGCCCCGCTGGAAGCTTATTCTCTTTAATATCAGAGATGACCCCAGCAGCCCAGTGGTCACTGTGGTGAGGGGGACGTGGTGAAATCTTGGCGGTGATAAGAGTGATGACTACAGATGGCTTCCTCTCAGAGCAGAACATGGTGGTTCGGGGACCGCTACTGGGAGAACAACATTCGGCATTCGTAGTGACGAGGGAGGAAGTTGTCACAGCAAAGTCGGCTGGGGAGAGCCTGACTCAGAGGAAAGACAAGTCAGAGGCCACCAAGTCCCCAGGAAACCACTAAGTCGTGAGCACTCGGTGCAGCAGCCTGCGTGGAGGCACGGGAGGCTGGGGGAGGCTGCTGGGGATCCCCCTCCTCATTGCCTGGAAGGCCGCAGCAGCGTGCGTGACATCTGAATGATTCAGAGCGCGAGCGCCTGAGTCTGCCAAGGCGGCCTGGCTCGGCCCGGGGCCTCCCAGGGGACAGCCGACGACGCGTGCCTGGCCTGCTCATACGCCCGGCCAGAGAGGCCACAGAAGCAAGGAAGCAGAGAAATGGGCTGTCAGACAGCCAGCCCCGCTGGCCACAGAATCCAGCAGGCAGAGGACATCTTAACTCTGAATTAGAGGCCACGAAGTTCCATGAATTGAATGAATATAATAATACCTATTTAATATGATGAGTCGTGAAACGGCATGAGGAAGATGGCTCACATTGTGCCCAGCTGTAGTAGATACTTAATACATGCTAGATCCTTCTCACTCATAATTCATTTAACTCCCACGGATGGAGCGCCACCGTGTAATAGGTGCTAGGAATACACAGCCAGAGATGACACAGGCACGGCTTTCAAGGAGCATCCAGTCCAGTAAGGGAGAAGCAAGTAAAAACATCTGCTTATGCAGATGTTTTAAAATTAGGGCCCAGAAATTTTAAGAGGCTGAGCTAAGATCACTGGCCAGCAAAGCCAGCACAGGCAGCCCAGCTCCTGCTTCTGCTTCCAGCACGTCCCTGCCTTTCAGCTGAAAGCTGTTGCGGAAAGAGCAGTCGGCAGCAATTGGCAGTCGGCGCCTTCCTGGACCCAGGAGCACAAGCACAAGGGCTGGCGGTGTCTCAGGCTGTAAGAGCGACTCTCCAGGCCTCCTTCCAGGACATCGTCCCGAGTCTTCCTTCCTCTTCACGTGCACGGTTTCTCCTGCAGCCTCGGGTGTCTGGGGACTTTATTATGTGTGACCAGAACTACACAG